AGTATGTTCCAGAAAATGACAGATATTGAACATTCACTGTGTACTGGGCACTACAAGATGTTAAAATTGCATCCATGAATAAGCCACAGTACCTGCCCTCCAGGCAAGCATAATCACAGTACAGTGCTAAGACTGCATTCACCGAAGGCCGAGTTCAGCAAAGGGAACATCTGACCTTTTTTTTCAGAATTGTCTTCCTGGTACCGGGCACAGTAGCTGGGACATAGCAGATACTGGAAGGGAAGGAGACCACAGAATTTAAAAAACATAAAACACAAAAACTAGGCCTAAGATTCTGGGAGACAGATGGGATAGATGCTCTTATTTCCATACTAGCAAATGAGAGAAATCAAGGTTCAGTAACTCCCACAAGGTCACACAGTAAGTCAACAGGTCTCTTGACTAACATTTTGCCCACACTCTGTTGCATTCCCCCATCCTTCCAGTTTCTACCAGCCCCTTGATGGCATCTGCAGATTAACGAAGGTAGCAGGTGGAGGTAGGGCTGTGAGCAGATTAAAATTTCGAAAAATAATTGGGGCCCCTGGGTGGTCCAGTCGTTAAGTGTCTGCCTTCGGCTCAGGTCTGGGGTCCTGGGATGGAGCCCCACATCGGGCTCCCCACTCTGTGGGAAGCCTGCTTCTCCCTCTTTCTGCCACTCCCTCTGCTTGTGTTCCCTCTCTCACTGCATCTCTCTGTCAAATAAATAAAAATCTTTAAAACAAAAAAACTTCCAAGAATAAAAACAGACATCAGGGCCCATGTCCTAGAGACTACGCAGTCCCACATGAGCCCATTTTCTTCCTGTCTCTGTTCCATTTGGCACAAACCAGCTTCTCACTTTAGGGTTAGACTGTGCAGGGCTCTTTCCCAGAGATCGAGTTTCCGTAGTTATTTTTAGCTGGAGTTTTAGTGCATACCTGGGACAGGTGAGGCATGAAAAGGAATGTGGGTGCGGATAACCCTTGAACCTCTAGTGCCAAGGTTTGGGTCTCTTGTCATTCCAAATGAAGAGAGATGACTCATACCCTGACTTATCTGCCCTGAGGCAAGATTTCACCTTAAGAACTATGTGAATTAGAACTTCTTGTATATTCTCTAATTTTGTATTCAAGTTCTTGGGACATACTTTCTTGATGTTACTCTGTTACCTGCTTTTGATAACTTGGATGCCTTCATTTTCTGCCACCAATGCCAGAGCCTGTGGTTCTTTCTGGTCTCCTTTCCCAGCCTTTGAGGGAGCTGGGGTAGAGAGTCTCTGATTAAGATTTTTTTTTTAAGATTTTATTTGACAGAAAGAGAGAGTGAGAGCACAACCAAGGGGAGTGGCAGGCAGGAGGAGGGGGAGAAACAGGCTCCCTGTGAGCAGGGAGCCAGATGCAGAGCTTGATCCCAGGACCCTGGAATCATGATCTGAGCCAAAGGTGATGCTTAACTGACTGAGCCACCTAGACGCCCCAGTTTAGGTTTTTTGATTATCTGTAGGTAGGAAGCTACCTGGAAAACACTTTGGCTGTAAGCCAGATGTTTTTATAAAGCCAGCCAAGTTTTAGGATATTAAGGGACTTAGAAAGAATAATCAGGGTGCCTGGATGGCTCAGTCGGTTAAATGTCTGTCTCCAGCTCAGGTCATGATCTTGAGTCCTGGCATCAAGCCCTGTGTTAGGCTCCCTGCTCAGCTGGCGTCTGCTTTTCCCTCTCCTGTCCCCCTCCCTCTGTGTATCTCAAGTAAATAAATAAAATATTCAAAAAAAATTAAAAAAGAATCATCATCATAAACTAGTTGAGTCTAGACCCCTCCTGGCAACTACTAGAATCCCCTCAGAGTACCTTTAAGTTCCAGAGTGCGTAGAATTCTGGGCCTGCTTTAAGTCTGGAATAGCCAGCCCAACTAAAACCATATCACTGGGATCCTTGGACCCCTTCAGAAAGCAGAGATATTTTCATCTGACTTCAGCTCTAGACAGAGAAAATAAAAAGAGGCTAGCTAGTATCATGAAGCCATGATACAACAAATACTATATAAAGTGGCTTCATGATTCAGATGAGAAATAAGAGGGAAATCTGGGCCAGCATTACATGACTATTGTAAGCTACTTCCTTTATGAAGTCATACAAGTTAGGTGTAGGAATTGTTTGCAACTGGGGGAGGGGGTGAGGGTGGTTGGTTATTTTGAAACCCTGTTTCTTTCTTTTTTTGAGAGAGAGAGAGAGAGAGAGAGATGGGGGTGGGGGCAGAGGGAGAGACAGAGTCTTAAGCAAGCTCCACACTCCAGCACGGAGCCCAACACAGGGCTCAATCTCATGAGAACTCATGAGATCATGACCCGAGCCAAAATCAAGAGTCGGACACTCTCCCAACTGAGCCACCCAGGCGCCCCCTAAATTCTGTTTCTTAAATCAGGAAAACAGAACCAAGGAATTACACCAAGAAGGAAACAGAAGAAATGCCAGAAACACCCTCCCTACTCCTGAAACTAGAACCTTTGGTACTTTGACTGCAAAGATAATTTATATTTCATTTAAGAGAGTATCATCTTAAACTTGTTTTTTCTAAGATTTAATTTTTAAGTAATCTCTACACCCAACATGGGATTTGAACTTACAACCCCCAGCTGAGGAGTCACGTACTCTACCGAGTCAGCCAGGTGCCCCTCATTTTAAACGTTTATGCTTCCACCCACTTTAACCATTTCTGAAGACCTACCTTCTGCCTTTTCTCCACTTTCTTTGTCATCAACTCTATCTACCACTTCTATTCCACCATATAGTCTTAAACCCCAAACAACATAGCAGTCCAGAAAGATGGGTCCGTATTGGATTGAATACTCTCCCTCCAAATTTCACGTCTACCTGGAACTCCAGAATATGACCTTTTTGGAAATAGGGTCTTCACAGATACAATTAGTTAAGATGAGGTCATACTGGATTAGGATGCATCCTGAGCTCAATGACTGGTATCCTCAGAGGAAGGCCACGTGAAGACATGGACACATGAGGAAGGTTATAGAAAGATGAAGGCAGAGATTAGTTATGCAGCCACAAGCCAAGGAACATCAAGGATGGCTGGCCACGACCAGAAGCTGGGAAGGAGGCAAGGAAGGAGTCTTCTTTAGAGGTTTCAGATGGCACAAGGCCCTGCTGACCTCTTCATCTCAGACTTCTAAGAAGCATCCAGAACCGTGAGCCAATAAATTTGTTTTTAAGCCACCCAGTGTGTAGTACTCGTTATGGCAGCCCTAAGAAACTAACACACACCTTGATTAGGGTTTTAGCAGCAAGACCTCATAACCCTGCCTCAAAGGATATGGGTACAAGAACAGATCCAATTAATGGTACAAACCCACAGCTCTGTCCTTATTCACTAACAGATCACATTTATTTATTTCTGCCTCCTGTCCTTTACAGTAACATCTTTACTCACCTTGTGTGGGACCCCGGCTTATGGTCTGGATCATGTAATATGCCTAAAGACAAATCATTCACATTTCTTCGCTGAGTGTCCTATCGTCCCATCCTAGCAAAGCATAACAGCTAAGCTTTAGAGCTGTAGTTCTTAATCCTTTTGGTCTCCCCAGAAATATGCATACACTTCAGGCATCTACAGATCCTATATGAAAGACCCCTACCTACTTAGAAACTTCACACTCCTTCAGGATAATTCCAATCTCTCTTCCTTACCCACACCCCATCCCCCAATTCAATACCAGATTGCTTCTGAAGTCCCCCAATGAACTGAAATGGCAACCATCCATTTACTCTTACCCAAAGGCTCACAGAGAGAGAGTTGTTATTATCCTAAGCCCCCTGGAGAGTCCCATCAGGAAAATACATTCAGGAAGAACCAGCCTCCAGTGGTACACACAACTCAGTCACAAGTATGGACCCACTCACCTTTTCTTCTATTTTTTTTCTGCTTTCCTTCTTTCTTATGGACTCCTAACTTCTCTAACTTAATCTTCGCTCAAATGCGCCATAACGAGGAACAATGAAATGTGAAGCAAACTAAACAACAAAATAGCCACGTGTTTAGATTTCAAGTAATTATAAATGCCTTCTTATCCACAGGCATTCCTCTTGGATGCATTTGTGGCAGAATGTACCTCACCACCTGTGTTTATAAAGATCTTCCTGTAATCAACGGTCCACACCTGACTACCACAGAGAATTTTACTGACGTCTACTTTTCACTTCTCATGACTCTAAGAAATACAATCATTGGAACTTGTACTTTTTTTTTTTTTTAAGAATTTATTTATTTGACAGAGAGAGATCACAAGTAGGCAGAGAGGCAGGCGAGGAGGGGGGGAGCAGGCTCCCCACCGAGCAGAGAGCCCAATGCGGGGCTCGATCCCAGGACCCTGAGATCATGACCTGAGCCGAAGGCAGAGACTTAACCCACTGAGCCACCCAGGCGCCCCCCATAGTTGTTTCTATATTCCATCAACTCTCCCCTGTCCCACCCAGTCCCTACAGATCCACAGTCTATTTTCTCTCCAGGAGCTGATGGTCCAGCTTTACTTCTCCTGAATTTCATCACCCAGCAGATGGAGACAAAAGAAAGGGTATTAGCCAGTGAGCCTCGATGACAAGGGGGTGAAACTGGGTCTTGGAATTACCCTGTATTTCTGATGCTTCTTGATTTTACTCTAATTACCTGGGAATAAGAGTCTATTATATAAGAAACCAGTCTTCCTATCCAAGTGTTTAATCCAAGAAGCCAGGGAAGTGAATCTATTCAGTGATCTAACAGACTCTGCCGTCTTACTTATGAACTTTGGTCCATCACCAAGAAAAACACAACCAAGACCTTTCCTTTCAAAGCCATCCATCATCTTGTTCATTTGTAGATTTTTTTTTAATCATAAATATTTATCTTAATTAAGGATGAGCAATGAATCTGCCACATAATTGCCACTGCTAGTTTCTTACTTATTAGTAAGAGCTTACTTAAATCTCTAAAGTCCCTCAGCTTATAAAAGACTTCAAGGAGTACTGAATCTTTTAAAAATAATATTTAAATTTATTATTCCACATTAGGTTTAATGAAGCGCAAGCTGAGACTGCTAAAGGATCACCATTTTACAGACATAGGAGCATCTTCCCTTTATAACAACGGGTCCAGCGCTTCATCAACCTAGTCCTTGACCTGTAGCTAAAAAAGCAAAGGTCTGTATGAAGTGACAGAAGAGCACAGCCTACTCAGGTCATGACCAAGGACCCAAAGCTGACCTCAGCGCTGGAAAAGTCAGTCTGCAGTCATGGAGCTCTATAGAAGGGGAACGAGTACTGAGTTAGAGGAGGTTCTGGACATCATTCTGACAGATTCCAATCTAAGGAACTCTGACCAAGGAGGTTTCATTCTCTTCTACAATCCCCTTTTACGGAACAGAAGGCTGAAATTGAGTCTTCATAAGAGAATTAACGGCCTTTCCGTTTCTTCATTTTTCCTCCAGCCACCTTGTTCCTGACACCCATAGCACCTTCTGTGTCATCGTTGTCCCCAGCATCCTCCCGTGTGCGTTTCTTCTTCTCTCCATGCTCCCTTAACTCCTGCAAGAAAAGAGAAAGGATGGGAGTGAAAGTTACTATTACTGAGGGTAACACATCTTGTCTCCCCTCCCTAAAATCAAACACTAAGTAACTCCCTAATACCTCACATTCGCAAAGGGCTAAGACCAAAATCCTAATACACAAAAATGTTCACATGAAAATTAAAACAATAAGCTATTATTTTCACAGAGTAGGCCAGCAAAGATTTAAGAGGTAGTACCTCATATTGGTCAACATGTGGGAACATCCACATACTTTGTCTCTGACAGTTTAAACTGCTATAGCTTTTCAGGGGGGAGGGGCGGGAAATCTGGCATTCTCTATGAATGCCCAACAATTAATTCAGCCCAACAATTAATTCTACTTCTAGGAACTTCTTCAAAAGAAACAAGTATGCAAAGCTATACATATTAGGATGTCCAACATGGTACCACTTAAAATATAAAACGTGAAAAAGCATAAACATATATGCACCATTACAAGTCATGTTATATATTCATAATGGAATTCTCTCCAGCCATGAAGAATTGATCCCATGGCTCCCCATTTGTTAAAATAGAAAAATGTTAATCATATACAATCAGATAAAAATCTAAGTATGGCTAAAAAAGGGAAAACAGCCAAATGTTCTCTATGCAGGGTAGCTTGTATGTTTCAATTTGCTATTTTAATTTTTTCTGTATTTTCTGAAATTTTTTCAATGTACATATAATACTGTTATAAGCGAAAATAACAAAGAATTCCATGTGAGCAGAAAAACAAAAACAAGTCCACACATGGACTACTCAGAAAGCACCCCAGGGGCACAGCTGCCTCATCCCTCAAACTACAACTCTAGGGAGCAGACAGCACTTGCTAGTCTAAAGTCTCCTTTAGAATCTTCCCATCCATCCCCACCCTTATTGCCGCTACTTAGTATTAATTACTATGCAGGTCACGTTAGCTTATCTGGCACCAAAAAAACCCTTGTGCAGTATCAAGATAATTATTATTGCCAGTTTTTTGGGCAAGGAACTGATTCTGAGAGGTCAGATGCACTATCCAAACCCACAATGTCCAATTCACAGCTGGGTCTTCTGACTGCATATCCAAAGGTTTTCTTGCCACATGTGAAACACAAAGAGAGGCTGAGCATGTGGTCACTGCGGTCAGACTGAGTCCAAACCCGGATTCAAATTACCTACCATCCCTGTATTTTAGTACACTCATCTTAAATTTAGAATAAAATAATACTGAGTTCCTGTGGTTTTGAGGATTCATACAATAGCACCTAGCACATAGCTCACAGTGTCAGCATTTAAGTTGGTGAGAAAATAAGTTGCATACCATGCGGGCAAATCTCTGGGCTTCGGTCACACGTTCTGTCAGCATCATAACCTCATCATCCTGTGTTGGAAAGACAGGCAGTTTCTTCCCAATTAAGTGTTCTATACGCTGGAAGAGTTCCACATCATACCTAAGGAAAGAAAATGGGCATGGCTTTGGTTGGCTGACAATGGAAATGTCTGTCCATTCCAAAAGCATACATTAGGTGATATGATGTACCAGGAGCCAGTTTTTAAACACTACCGGATCCATTATTCCTCTTCAGAATACTAATTAGATGCCATCTTCTGTACACAGTCCACTAGAAAATGTCCAACGTATTCTTTACTCCCAGAAAAACCCTGGTTACATAAAAATTTGTTCCTTTTAGAAACAAGACCAAAATAATTATTCTAATACTTTGAGTTGAGGGAAAGGTCACTGTGCTCCAGTTTCAGCAGCTGAAAGAAACAGCAGGGGTTTCTCTGCATGCTTCTGTATGCCAAACACCGTACCAGATCTTTTATGTGTGTATCACCAACCTTCATTAAAACCCGCTAGGTAGGTATTATTATTTCCATTTTACAAATGATGAAAACAGTATGAGGGAGGTTTAAGTGACAATTAGAGTAAATGGCAAAGTCAGGCACCAGGTCAGTCTGCTGAAAAAGCTCTGCTCTTTTCTCTCCATTGTTCTCCCCCTGAAATCAATTCACTTACTGTGTGACAAAGGTAATAGCCTTTCCGGAACGCCCAGCTCGAGCAGTTCGACCTACTCGATGGATATAATCCTGAAACAAAAAGTGTAAATTTGAGTTACATAAAACATAAACAAAAAATAATGAACATAAGGTTTTACTGCAAACCTCTGAAAGAAAATAGACTCGTGTTGAAACATGGAAAAATGGATTGGGCAATAGATTGAGATAGATCTACTACTTCTTTTTTTTCTTTTTTTTTAAAGATTTTGTTTGTTTATTTGAGAGAGAATGATCAAGGGAGAAAGAGCAAGAGCAAGCCATGAGCAGGAGGAGGGAGAAGCAGGCTCCCCGTTGAGCAGGGAGCGGGACATGGGGCTTGACCCCACAACTCTGGGATCATAAACCAACCCAAAGGCAGACACTTTACTGACTGAGCTACCCAGTGCCCCTACTTCCTCTCTTTTTATTCTCCTTGCAACACTAAATTGACTCTTTTTTCTTTTCTTTTACAGAAAGACAAATCTAAAGTGTATTTACATGGTCTAGAGGAAAACAGCACTGGATACAGAGGCAGACCTGGATCATGGTTCTGGTCTTACCACCTACCAGCTACATCACTGTCTGCAAGTCACAGCGTCTCTCTGAATTTGTTTCTCTCTATAAAACAGGATAGAATGCATGCCCAAGCTCAGAGCCATTTTCAAAATCAAATGAGACAGCAGTTACACACAAAGCCAAAAGATTACTTTGTGGGAGTTACTCTGGGGACAATTCTGTCCTCCCCAGGGAACATTTGGAAATGTCAGCAAACATATCTGGTTGTCACAATGTCACCTGTGTGTAGAACTGGAATGCAGCTAAGCATCCTACAATGAAAAGGACAGCCCCACAGCAAAGCTGCTGGCCCAAAACGTTTATGGTGCCAAAGATGAGAAACCCTGAGATACACAAAAAACTACAAGCTGACCATTCTGAAGAAATAAGACTGACAAAGATCAGCATATGCTGCACCTCCCCTGTGGGCTATGAGCACCCAGTACTTCTCTTTGGCTACCTTCTTTCACATTTATTAATACCACATCTTCAGGCACATGCGAGATAACGAGAATGAATAAATCAAGAGCCTTCCATTTGACTGCGAACAAAATAAATTTAAAAAATGATGTTGTAACTAACGAGACACAGAAAACATTCCATTAAGAAATACACTCTGCGGGATGTCTGGGTAGCTCAGTCGCTGGGCGTCTGCCTCCGGCTCAGGTCATGATCTCAGGGTCCTGGGATAGAGCCCTGGGTCCGACTGCCAGCTCAGCGGGGAGCCTGCTTCTCCCTCTGCCTACCACTCCCCTGCTTATGTTCTCTCTCTCTCTCTCTGATAAATAAATAAATAAATAAATAAATAAATAAATAAATAAATAAAATCTTTTAAAAAATTACACTTTGGGGGTACCTGGATAGCCTAGTTGGTTAAGTATCTGCCTTCGGCTCAGGTCATAATCCTGGAGTTCTAAGATTGAGCCCTATGGCAGGCTCCCGGCTCAGTGGGAAGTCTGTCTCTCCCTCTCCCTCTGATCCTCCCCCCATTCAACTCAATCTCAAATAAATAAATAAAAACTCTTAAAAAAAAAAAAAAAAAAAAAAGAAAGAAATACAATGGAATATTATTCAGCCATAAAAAAGAATTAAATCTTCCCATCTGCAACAACAGACATAGACTTTAAGGACATTATGCTAAATGAAATAAGTCCAAGAAAGATAAATACCATATGAGCCAACTTATATGTGTAATCTAAAAATTAAAAAACAACAACAAACTGAGCTCATGATACAGAGGACAGAATTGGTAGCTGCCAAAGATGGAAATAATGGGACTGTGGATAAACTGGGTGAAGGGGGTCAAAATGCACAAACTTCCAGTTACAAAATAAGTCAGTCATGGGGCTGTAACGTACAGCTTGGCAACTATAGCTAATAATACTGTATCACACATCTGAATGCTGCTAAGAGAATACATCTGAAAAGTTCTCATCCCAAGGGGGGGAAAAAATCCATAACCATGTATGGTGACAGATGTTAACAAGATCTGTGGCAATCATCTCAGGATATATGCAAATATCATATCATTATGTTATACAACTGAAAGTAATGTTATATGTCAATTACATCTCAATTTTTAAAAATGAAAGAAATACTCTTTGCGACTAGGAAGTCAGGTCAGTGACAGGACTCACCTTGGAATGGGTAGGAATGTCAAAGTTAACAACTACATCCACATGAGGTATGTCCAAACCTCGGCTTGCAACATCAGTTGCTAGAAGAATAGAACGAGCCTTGGCCTTAAATTTATTAAGGGATCCTAGGCGCTTGCTCTGAGATGATGAAAAAAAAAAAGAAAAAAAATTTAATCTTGGAACACTAGGAATCTTACAATCTAAGATAGATACACTAAATATAAGAACAGAGACAGAAATTTTTAAAAGGCTGTTTCCCTCTAAGTCCAGACTGGGTTTCACAGGTCAAAAGGAAACATGGAAGCAACAAAAAAAATATTTAATACTAAGGCTAGAAAATACTAACATGAAACAAGGATGATTTAACATGACAGACAGCTGAAAAATAATTTAGTAAAACTCTTTTGAGACCAAAGAACCACTTTTACCACTAGAGCTGAATAAATCAACTCAAGAGCTTCCACACCAGACAAATAACTGGAATCTTCGAGTCTGAGCCTCTCTCCTATCCTGGAAGGAGGCATCCAGAGCAACACTTTCAAGCCCATAAAATCTGATTAATTCTGGAAAGATGCATTAATGTCTCATGCTGTTTTTGTACAGATCTACTGCTATAAAGTTTACCTTTCTCATGCCACCAGTTCACCACTAATGACACCGAAGAGTCTTTACCTGACTCATCTGTCCATGGAGGGGGATGGCAGTGAATCCGAGGTTTCGGAGTAGCAAAGCTGTTCTCTGAGTATTGTTACAGGTGCTGCAGAATATCATAAAGGAGTTTCCAGCCAATTCATTTAGAATATAAACCAGGTAGGTATCCTAAGTTAAAAACCCAAAACAATGTAAGTAATTGAACCTGGGATAAAAGACTGGAGTCCTGGGGATACAAATTATGTAAAACACTAAGCCTATATATAGTTGCTTCTCAATTTTCCAGACCACAGTTGCCAGTTCTGCATTCCTGAAGCAGCAGTATCATGTCTGTGAGCTCTGAATCTCACATGCAGCCTACAGCCAAGCACAACTGCTTGTCGTCAGCAACCAGGAAGAGTCCCGACATCAAAGCACAAAACTAGGGTCTCTTGCCTATAAAAGCCACATAATCAGCAGACAAAAGAAAAGCTACTTCAAAAATGGGCCGAGAAAGGAATGACATCATTATTGTGGTTTAGCGTGCTATGAATTCCCGGAATATCTGACTTTATCAGTGATAAATATAAGCACAGTAAGCACGCTAAAACAAACAGGAGCACGGCTCTTAGCTAATCAAAAGTGGACGAACTTTCAGCTGCTTCGGTGAGGAAGGAGAGGGAGAGGCAGGAATGATCAAAGTAAACACTTTACCTTGAATTTAGAGGGAATAAAAAGATAATATTGCTGTAATTTCTCAACTGTCTGGTATTTGGAAGAAACAGCACATTTCACAGGATTCTTCAGTGCTGCTCGCTGAAGTTTTTGCACCTAAATAAAGAAAACTCAGAATAGTACACTGATGCCCAAGTGCTCTATTTTTATGATTGCTATTGTTTTTATTTATCACTTAATAAAGAAGAAAATGTTAAGTCCTAGAAAATTTCACCTTCTTGGTCATGGTAGCAGAAAAGAGAAATGTTTTCCGATCTCGGGGAATCACTTTGAGGATCTTGTCAACCTAAGGTACAAAGAAGAAAGGATACCAATATAACAGTCAGACTGGATACTTGCAAATGCTCTCTGTGAAGGGGACAGAGAGTAAAAAACCAAAAGTATCACTGTGGGATCCGGCGACTCAAAAATTCAATTCAGCTAAAATTTACTGAATATTTACTTTTTAATACCATACCAGAGTCTATTTTTTTTTATTTTTTTTATTTTTTAAGATTTTGTTTATTTATTTGACAGAGAGATCACAAGTAGACAGGGAGGCAGGCAGAGAGAGAGGAGGAAGCAGGCTCCCTGCTGAGCAGAGAGCCTGATGCGGGACTCGATCCCAGGGCCCTGAGATCATGACCCCAGCCGAAGGCAGCGGCTTAACCCACTGAGCCACCCAGGCGCCCACCAGAGTCTATTTAAAAAGAAATGCCATTCAGAGAAAAGAAGTTTAAATTAGAGTTGAGTTAATCTAAGAAAAAAGTCAAGAATAAGTGTTCATCAACTAATTAAGCTGTGATGAGTGGGTCAGCTATGATAACAGCTGACCTGAAATAAAGGTATCTCAAAGTCTATGAAAGAGGTAGAAATCAAACGAAATGGAAAGGAAATCTGGTTGAAATTTCTCATGTCTGAAATCAAAATCTAACTACATTCTAGGGAGGATACTGAGGCACTGACCATAGAGAGGAGCACTAAGAATGAGAAAAGGCAGCAGGGATGTTTAAATTAACTGACGATGATACTGGGCTCCACATAGAGCAGGTGTGCAATGAATTAAATTTTGAAACAGGACACCTGAGATGCCCTAAGAGGAGGAAAGAAATTGAATGCTCACTTCTGTCTCAAAATCCATATTCAATATTCGGTCTGCTTCATCCATGACCAAGTATTTGAGAGCTCTTAAGTTGAAACCTTTTGTATTTTCCAAGTGGTCAATCAATCGACCTGGAGTTGCTATCAAGGAAGGTTGAGGAGAAAGACAATGTTTAAGAACAAGGACAAAAAGAAAGTTATCAATCGCCCCAACCCCCAAATTTCAGAAATTAAAAAAATTAAAGTTACAAAAGTCCTTTCTTCAAAGTCTTTCCATACAAATAAGTTACACTCAACATCTGTAGATTTTCTCCAATTCATTATCACTAGTGCCTTCTACCTCTGTCAGTTACTCACCTATTATCACGTGTGGTTTTTTCGCCAGAGCCAGAGATTGGGACATTGAATCAATTCCACCTACGATCACAGCTACAGAAATAAAAAGAATATGGGACAGAGACCCTTTATTTTTTCCACAGTTCACTGAACATCTTTTTGAAGCCAGTGCTAGATTTCTACCTAAATTTCTCTTCCTGTACAACTTTCCCCAAAGCTAAAATACCAAATTGGCTCTTAAGGTCAATGAACTCATGTTAATAATACTTTCTTCTATTATCCTTTTACACTCATTCTCAACTTGTAATGAAACTCTGATTCCTTTCCTCTCAGACACTTACCACTCTGCACACCAATAGAAGACCCCAGGGCCTCAAACTGCTCCGAGATCTGAAAGGCCAACTCTCGAGTGGGCGTGAGAACCAAGGCAAACAAACGCTGGGGCGTCTCTAGCAGCGCATTCAGAATGGGCAAGGCGAAAGCCCCTGTTTTTCCAGAGCCAGTTTCTGCCAGCCCGATGATATCACGACCTAGGAAGAAAAAGGAAACATCTAAAAGCAAAGAAATGCTCTCTGCATTATTTCCATATTTTCTACAATGACGGCATGTGGGCGCAAAGGAGACAATGAATAAACATTTGATGAACGGGAGGGAAAGGAAGGCTGAATAGACAGACGACATGGCCTCGTCCTAGATAAGCTCAAAATCTGGGGGAGATACACAAAGACGGTATGTGATAAGGACTTTAGAATAGGCCCCTACAAAATATAGTGAGAACACAAAAGAAGGAGTAACTTACAGTCCATAGGAGTCAGGAAAGGCTAACAGAGGTGATGGGTAAATTCAATTTGGAAGTAAGTGAAGAAAGAAAGGAAGGACATTCCTATATGAGGACAGAGGGGACAGGCTTTAAAGAACACAGCATGTGCAGGGAGAGTGAGAAGTACAATGTGGCTGGAACACAGAAGTGTAAAGGGAGAAGAATGAGGCTAGAAAAGAAATTCATAAGCCATGCTAGAGAGTTTTGATGTCTTCTTTTAAGAGGGAGGAACTGAAGGATTTTAAAAGTAGGGAACTTGATGACCAATGTTATTCCTTAGGAAGAGAAACCCTAGGCCTGATGGCATAAGGAGCCAAGGATCTCAACAGTACAGGCCATTTCCACTGCTTCTTCTGAGGGAAGAATGCCATAAGTGATCCCTTAAGAAGAGGTCCCTGGAGGGGCGCCTGGGTGGCTCAGTAGGTTAAAGCCTCTGCCTTCGGCTCAGGTCATGATCCCAGGACCCTGGTATCGAGCCCCACATCGGGCTCTCTGCTCAGCAGGGAGCCTGCTTCCTCCTCTCTCTCTGCCTGCCTCTCTGCCTGCTTGTGATCTCTGTCTGTCAAATAAATAAATAAAATCTTTAAAAAAAAAAAAAAAAGAAGAGGTCCCTGGGATTTGTTATCACCAATCAAGCCATAACAGTAAGATCTGGAAATTAACTCCCAAAGCAAGACCACCATCTCTAGGCTAGCTGGCTACAGCTTACAAGGTCGCTGTGCACCAGAACAGCGGCCCCTGGGAATACTTCCTAGCAAAAATGCCCTCCACCAGTTGATGCTCACACTGTTCCTTGACTGTACAAAACTGGTGAAATTTCCTTACTTAGGGATTAACCCTACAATAAACTCCTTTTTCCTGAGGTTAGCTAACTCTCTTCTTCATGACCTAAAATGACCCAAACAAACAGAATGGGGGACACACAGGAAAATGAGAGCTCAATGAGGATACCAGGGGAGTTAGGAAGGTGATCTGAACTGAGGTAAGGCAGTGAGGACAGAAAGAAGTGAGATGTAGAAAGTCATTCAAGAAAATGTGGTTGACACATGGGTTTCTAGCTTGGGAAACTCAAAGGCCATAAATTGAGACAAAAGCTTCTGGAAAATTAGTTCTGATGAGGAAAACAGTGACTCTGGTTTGAACATAAGAAACTTGAGGTTTATGCCAGAGGCTCAGAGAGAAATATCTAACTTGTCTGGAGCTCAGCAGAGAAGTATAGGCTAGAAACACAGATGTGGGAGCCATGAGCATCCAAACAGTGGTGCTCCCCCAAGGCTAGACACATTAGAATAATTTACGAATTTTTATATCTATATATGCCGAGGTCCCACATGTAGAAATTCTGATTCAGTGGGTCTAGAAATCTCTGTTGTTTTACAAGTTCCACAGGTGATTCTGATGAACACTGGCTGAGATTTACCGACACAGACAGTGTTAAAGGTTCAGGACATGAAAAATCTTACTAGTGTTTTAGAGTGAGAAAAAAAAGGATAAAGATAGATTTAACATTGCAAGGGGAAAAAAAAAAAAAGAAGAAACTGAGAAAGAACAGCAAGAAAGACAGAAGACAATACTGACTTGAAATTGAGGAGAAAGAGAGCTTCAAGAAAGGAGAGTGATTAATATCAAATAGAACAAACTTTTTGATATTCATCTCTTAGACATTAATCACTTAAACAAGAATTGGCCATCCAGACCAAACAACAGCATATTCTAGTGAATGCTACCCTTTACCCTTCTAACAGTAACATCAATGTTTTCCATATAAAAGTACAGGTGTGGATGTGAATTATAAGTCAGTCCAGACAATGGACTAATTTTATTAAGGTCACAAAAACAAATGGCAACAGAAGGATAAAATTTCTCCCTCATTTACTAACTTTAATGTTCCTCTTGGCCGTAAAGTAAGTGACAACAAACTGCAACAGCATCCCCCTACTTGTGAGCTAAGGGCTTCCAAAGCTTTTTTTTCCTCCACTCTGTGGGAATTCTGCCCTACCTGCTGGGTCCAGCGTGCCTTCTGGAACAGGAAAATACAAAAACAGTGGGATGTGTCCCTTTTTCTATCAATGGAAATCTAAAAATTTCAGAAGAAAGGAGTATACAAGAAAGATTTAGGGAAGTAAAGGAGCTTAAGTCTCTTGCTTCATGTGGCTGTGAACAACGCCCACCACCCCCAGTGAAGGCCAGCACTGCCTGCAGTTCTCTTATGATCCCCTCAAAGCAATACTCGCTTTGTGAGACTGATTTTCCTCTATGATCTCCCTTCTTCCTCTCACAACCCCTAAGCCCCTCTGGTAGTGTCTGTGTAGAATACATACCCCATAAGAGAAGAATAAATTCATTCACCTTGATCACACGGCCAGCACCTAACACAACTGCTTTGGGATATGGCAGCCATTCAAAAAACTGTCTGAAATTTCTAGAGGACTTTGAGTGATCTCTGAATTAGAAATAAACTTAATACACGAAACAGATGGGAAGAAAAGCATCCTCAAAAACCATCAAAAGGTTTTGATCTCTCCATTGTAAAACCCTGTAATACAGGGCCAAGAACTTGGGCTTTTCAGCTAGAACATCCTATATTCAAATTCTAGCTCCAACAATAATTAGTTATGTGACTCTAGCCAAGGTACTTAATCCTCTGACCTTCAATTTCACGAGTAAAATAATCAATCCTAACTTTCAGAATTATTATAAGGTTTAAGAATGATGGATGCACCCAGAACTCCTTAACTTTGTTGAAACTGACACCATCATTAGTAATTAAACTAAAAATTTAAAGTTCATTTTATAGAAGAAAAATGCTGTTAGATTATTTAAATCTCTTGCTTAGGGCCAGCACCTACAGGTTTTTTTAAATGAAGCATTTATAAATTGTTCATTAGAATGAGATAAGCTCAAGAATAAGAATAAAGACTTTTTCCATGATGACGATGTCCCTCACATTACTCAGTACCTGGTATCCTTTCACTGACTCCTATTTTCTCTGTATTCAATATAAACTTGTTACTAAAAACCAGTATGAATAATTTCAGAATTATTACCATCACCTAATTTAGGTTCCTCCCTCCAATGACTGCTGTAGGGTAAGCAGGAAAATGCTGGAACACACCAAACTTTCTATTTGCTATTTGATATATGTGCTGCCGAAGCGAGCACTCTATTTGCTATTTGAAAGCAGCTCCGGTAGTGCTGACTACTGAAATGTCTTCCCCACTCGTGCAGTCTTTATCCAGTTTAGCTTCTCTAAACAAGCTCAAAGTCTTTGCTGTCCCTTCCCTGAAACACTCCCCCCCACCTACTTTGTATGAAATCATACTCTCATGATTTTCAGCCCTCTACTGAGCCTCCACCATCTCTTCACCCTTATGTGGCATCCTCATCCATACCCACAGTTTCAGCTACAACTTCGCTTTGGATATGGTGTCTGTATCCAGTTCTGGCCTCTTAAGCAAGCTCTAATCCCCAGATTCCAACTGTGCATTAGTTAGTTCTATCTCTTTGATGCCCCAAATCAATTATTTCCAACTGAACTCCTCTTCCCCGGAATTATTCCTCCTCCTATGCTCCTTTTTACACCAGTAATATGTCCTAAACACACAGGCAATAATCTTCGATTTTCCCACCCCTTGCTTTCCATTAACAAACGGATTATAAAATCACAATGATTCTTTTTCTATCATTTTCTCTTTCTCACTCTCACTACCACTAACCTACGCTTTATTTATTGCCAAAATTACCACAATACTCTAACTAGTCCCCCAGTCTCTGGTCACTCGTCTCTGAACTACCTTACAAAGCTATGAGATTAACAGCCCAAGACTACAACTCTAAGGATTTCATTCTCCAGCTAAAAAAATAATCTCCAGTGCCCGTGGAACAAAGACCAAATTCCTTGGCCTAGCATTTAAGTCTGGCATAATCTGGCCCCAATGATTTTATTAATCTTTCCCCCCATTCTCTGCTAAGTACTTGCAGGCCTCCACACATGCCCGTGCTTTGCAGCCTCCTTTGCTTTTTTTTTTTCATGCTATTTCCTGTGCCTAGAAAGTCCTCCCCTCCCACCAGACATGAATGTCTAAATCCTATTCAGTCTTCAAGGTTCAGCTCAAATGTCTTTCCAATCTTCCCTGCCAAAAGATAAAGTAAGTTTTCTTTAACCCATTTCAATGAGTAATAATCTATTCTCCTCCCTCAGTGCACTTGGAACACTTGGAATGTAACTTTCTTATGCCCCTGTTCACCTTGTAATAGATTTTTAATTATCTCCTTAGTAGACTCCAAGTTTCTGGAGATGGCCAAATCTTAACTTCTGGTGCCTTACACTTAGATATTTACTATTTATGGAAAGAACAAATGGAATTTCACAGAGTAAGTTTAATTACTTTTCCACATGACAGCTCTTCAAATCACTGAAGCCAATCATTATATCCCACCCTGCTTAACTCTTCTCCAGACCAAATGCACTCAGCTCTTTTAACTGTTTAGGACCTTTTTTTCTTTTTTTAAGATTTTATTTATTTATTTGAGAGAGAGAGAGATCACGCACACAGGGAGGGGCAGAGGGAGAAAGTACCTGAAGCAGACTGTACTGAGCATGGAGTCCTACACTGGGCTCAATCCCAGGACCACAATATCATGACCTGAGCCAAAATCGAGAGTCCTACGCTCAACCGAATAAGCCACCCAGGTGCCCCATTTAGCCATCCAGGCACATGTACTCTTGATACTGTACCACATTCAACGCCACTCAGTTGGTCCCTCAAAACTGGTCCTCAGAACTAAGCATAATATTCTAGGTGTGTTCTAACCAATACAAGGCACTTTTTCCTCTTAAAGCTAGTTCAAGAGTTCTTAACCTGGGATATGTAGCAGAGGAATTGGGGGAGGGGAGTGTAAATTCTATGTACAGATACACTGATACATTTTTTTCTGGGAAAAAAATCTTATTATAGCTAAAATAGCATTCATTTTCTCTAAGGATCTTAACGAATTTTGGTTAACATTGCTAGGTCTCTTTTACCATCAACCCTAGTCCTGTGAAGTTGGGCTTTGGGAATCGAAGAGCAGGACTTTACCTCTACACCTATGAAAGTTCCTCCTGTTAGTATTGGTCCCACTAGTCATCAACCAACATGTTAGCCATTCTTCTGCAAATCTGATAAACATGTCTCACAAAGCAAGAGCTCTCAACTCCTCTGGATACTAACAGATGTTCCAGGTACCCTATATGTAAATCCGCACTTACCAACTCATAATTTCTAACAAGTTTCTTGTTAGTACACTTTAATCCAGTGCTTCCTTAAAGTCAGCATCTGTTGCAGAAAACAAATCTCTTTACAGAAAATAACCTCAGTAGGAGAAGAGAATTACTTTTTCAAAAGCCAATAAGCCACAAATTTTGTAACATAGTGGCCATACTTTTATACTACTTGAAGTATGCAACAGCTCTCAAACATGGTATTTAATTGAGTATAACCTCATACCGAACCTGTATTGAGCCACATGTTTAATTTCAACCTACCTTGTAAGGCCAAGGGAATAGCTTCAATCTGGATCTTTGTGGGCTTTGTCCATCCCAACTGGTCACAGGCTTCACACAACACATCTGTCACACCCTTAAAATTCAGAAAAACAAACTTTAGCAAAGAACACACACACACACACACACACACACACACGCTTCCCTACTAATTAAATGAATGTCAGAGCCACCCTGCTGATGACAAGTGCATCCCTTAGCCTTTGATTCAAAACGTATCGCGCGCCTACTCGGTCTGCTCTTTAACACCTTCTACTCAGAGACAAAGCCGAGTTCTCCACATGTCTTATTTCATTTAATCCTCACAACTCTATGAAGTACTTATTACTACCCCCAATTTACAGATGTGCAATGTGAGGAAGTGCGAGGTAATGACGTGCCCCTAGTTAGCAACTGGGTCAGACTCCAAACCCGTTTCATCTTACTGCGCAGCCCAAGATTTTGGCGCGGGGGGGAACTGCCGCATGGACAGTCTCCTGGCGAATACAAACGTGGGCACACCAAAATGGAGAAAAGCGCAAATGGCAACTCTCAAGGACGGGCAGCCCTCCCACCATCCAAACCCGGAGGTTTAGGGACAGCGTCGGAGCCCAAGCTTCGGAAATTCTGAGGGAAAGCCAAGCTAGGCGCCAGATGCTTTTGTACACCGCCAGCCAGGATGTGAGGGAACCGGACTCTGTCTGCGCCTGGTGCCAGTAGTATAAAGAAGAGCCGGCGTCATCCAAGCTCACCAGATCTTTAAACGTTTTTGTTTCCTCCTCCTGGGCGGCCGGCTGAAGCGCTTCAGTCGCAGAATCACACTCTTCGGGCGCCGCCATGTCTTCCGCGCACTCCGGAAGTGGGTCGGCAGCGCGCGGGATGCCGGGAAGTGTAGTTTTAGTTCTCACGGGGCATCACGTTCTGGGCGCCCCCTGCGAGCTTGCTGGGATTTGCCCGCCCTAGGGGTGTGGTCTAGCGGAAACTTGGTTAAAAAAAAAAAAAAGCAGGGGATGGATGTAAACGTATGGCCTTACAAACCTAGCCAAGTGCAGAAGGGGCTGACGACGTGAGCCTCCTATCTTTTAGGAGCCTTTAAAGAAGTTTCCTAACGTCTCACACCTGTTATGTCCCTTGCTTTTCTAACCATAGAGCTTTGAACAGGTTGATATCACAATACTATTTATTTATCTTAATTGTTTCATTCATTTATTTAATAATACTTGTTTAGAGCCTACCATATGCTAGGGCTATGCTAGATGCCTCATGAACAGGACAACATCCCTTGCTGTCGTGGAGAAGACAGATAATAAATAAGTGATCACTGATGATGTCGAGTTGTGATAAATGCTAAGATGTAACAAATGGAAATAAAAATGATGGAGAGTAACCTGGGGAGAGTGGGTTATGGGGATAACTGTGAGATTGGGCAAGGCCTCTGGGAGGCAGTGATAGTTGAGCTGAGATCTCACTGATGAGAAGAAGAAAGTCCTTTCAAGGACCCAGGGGAGAACTGTTTCAGACAAAAGGAATAGCAAGTGCAAAGAATAGTTAAAATGTGTTCACAGTGTGAGGCAATGTGCCTATAACAATATGGCTGGATCTCAAAGACCTAGTGCAGAGTGAGAAAAGTATACAATATACCAAATACATTTAAAATATATGCCCCCTCTTGGGGCGCTTGGGCGGCTCAGTCCTTAAGCGCCTGCCTTTGGCTCAGGTCCTGATCCCATGATCCTGGGATCTAGCCCTGCATCTGGCTGCCTGCTCAGCGGGAAGCCTGCTTCTCCTTCTCCTTCTCCCATTCCCCCTGCTTGTGTTCCCTTTCACTGTGTGTCTCTCTCTGTCAAATAAATAAATAAAATCTAAAAAATAATAATAACATAAAATAAAATATATGCCCCCCAAAAATAAATAAAATAAAATATATGTCCACAAAATATCACTTTCTGCTGGAGCACATACACACTGAAAGATACACTTTAGAGATAGGTTATCAATGGAGCAAGAGGAATTGGGATAAAATTGGAAATTGGGGAGCTGGGAATAAAAGAGAATACATATACAAAGCAAAAAGAAGGAACTTCTGATGACAATGTGCCTTGAACTGAGAAGTGTCAGCTCAACTCAATGTGCCTGAGATCCTCCCCACCACCACCATCAGGGCTGAGAAAAGGCTCTGATTTAGGAATCACATTGGTGTCTCCAACAACAAAAACAGGTAGGGTGCAATCAGAGAAGTGGGGTCAGGTCAGACCCTGTAGGGCTGTAGGGCCCTCCAGTAAGAAAGTTTGGGGGTGGGTGTTATCCTGAATACAAAAGGAACCTACTGGAAGGTGTTGAGCAGGGAAGAGAAAGGATCTACATATTTAAAATATCACTCTAACTCTTTCGGAGACAGATCGTAGTGAGGAAAGGATAGAAAGAGAATGTAGGAAGCAAGAGCTGATCTTCTTGCCCCCAGCTCTAAGCATACTGCCTGACACAAAATGGATGCTCCGTCAGCACCACTTGGATGAATGACAACTCAGCAAAGCATCGGAATCAAGTATGACAGCAGATCAAAAGGAACTTCACTGGTTGTTTCCTCAAGGAGTGAAATCCCTTCTAGCTTTGTGATCACCTCCTGCAGAATACACTAGGGCCTTCGGTCTTTTTATACCATTTCTCTAAGTTAAAGGAAAGGAGAACAGACACACACTGTATAAGTCAACAGGTCACCCTGTTGAGATGGGTTCAATCAGCCCGTGCTTGTGCCAACACAGTCTGAAGCATTCCAGTTCCTCATGCAGCCCGCTACACCTCTACCCTTTCTGTTTTCCCAGGACTGGGAAATTAGGCCAGCCTGGGTGAGCTCCAAGTGGGTAACACTCTTTGGGATAAGGAGAAGTTGACTTATCCTGAAGAAAGTCTCTCATACTAACTCTCGCTCTTCCTCTTTCTGTGCTGTGCTTGATAGACATGCTGGAAATGCTGTGCTCTTTGTTGGACAAAGGAGAAAGAAACTCGAGTCCAGGGGATAAAGAGACATGTCACAGAGCAAGGTGACAAGAAACAAGGGTAGAACCCAGGCCTCCAGGGCCCGGCCGGCCCTTTTCCCCACAGAGAACATCAGCTTCCATGATCTCAGCACCTTTCTTCCTGCGGACTCACACTCCAAATTCCACCGCCACACAGAGTTTTCTCTAACAACGACAGAGTGGCCAAATTATTTCTTCAGCTTCCCTTAGACTCGTTGTCCGGTTTCATTTAGGAGGGGAGTGGGCAATGAAAAGTGCTGAGGGAAGCCAGAAGCCCTGACGGTAAAGGAGGGAAGCTAGAGGCCTGGAAAGGAGACCCAGATGGAAGCAATTGGAAGGACTATAAAACTGCATATCATATGGGGTCTAAAGTTCCCCAGGGTTTGTTAAAACGTGTGACAGGAAAGGAAAAAAAAAAAAAATCACAGAAGATTTTTGGTGCTGCTCTGAAGGGGGATGGATTTCAACGACTCAGCTGCTCTTATAATATAAACTGCCCTTTTCATCCAAGCCCAAAGCATTTCTGTTTGTTCTTGGATAATTCAGACATCAGCTATTTTTAAGACTTCCTGTGGTGCCAGTGTCCCCAAGGCACAGAGGGACGCCGAGAAGACAGGGCTCAATGGCCCCAACAGCAGCCTGGTGGCGCCATTCCGGGCACAAGGCCTGTGGGCAAGATTTGGGCCTCCCCCAGCACCCACGCCTGGGACAGGATTCACATCAGATCGGCAGGGGGACCCCAGAGGTTTCCACAGAGGAGAGGCAGCACCAGCTGAGAGGACTGTCTGCTTTTGATGATGTGGAGTCATTTGGATATTTATATTCTAGTCATGGATATTATAGAAGTTGTTCTAGTAACTGAGCAGTGTCATATCCTGTACTTTAGAACAATGAGGAAGGTTAAAGAGGAAATCCAAATAAACACTCAAAATGATGAGGGGGGAAATCAGGGCTGAAACAATACACTGGCTCCAGAGGGAGAGGGCAAAGGGACGGACACCACCTTACTCTGAAATGTTTTCACAGACCCTAGTACTCCTGCCTTCATAGGACCCTTTTCCCACAAAACAATTCCTAAAAATTATACTTTAAGGCTGCATTAGTATAAAGACAAATATATAAATATTACCATATTAAAATAGATTCTTTGGGGCGCCTGGGTGGCTCGGTGGGTTAGGACCTCTGTCTTTGGCTCGGGTCATGATCCCAGGGTCCTGGAATCGAGCCCTGCATCGGGCTCTCTGCTCAGCGGGGAGCCTGCTTCCTCCTCTCTCTCTGCCTGCTTCTCTGCCTGCTTGTGATCTGTGTCTGTCAAATAAATAAATAAAGTCTTTAAAAAAAAGAAAGTTTCTTTGATGTGAAAGTTCTTTTATTTGTCCTTTTTTTTTAAGATTTTATTTATTTATTTGACAGACAGAGATCACAAGTAAGCAGATAGGCAGGCAGGCAGAGAGAGAGAGATGGGGGTAAACATGCTCCCCACTGAGCAGAGAGCACAATGCAGGGCTCGATCCCAGGACCCTGGGATCATAACCTGAGCCGAAGGCAGAGGCTTAACCCACTGAGGCACCCAGGCCCCCCATGTCTTTTCGATTTTAAAGAAGTTGAAACCTTTTTTGTGGGCCACTAAAAATATGGTGGGCTCCAGGCCCTGTGGCTCCTGCCCTTGGCACATAAGGGAAGGACCATGATGAAGCCTTCAGCGGGTCAGTGACCCTGAGCCATTTTGGGGCATGAGCAAGTCAGGATAACAGTGGATCCTGGACCAAATGTGGAGTGAGTCCCCAAACTTATGGACAAGGCTTCTGTAGAAGATGCAGAGTCCTTTGTTCATTACTTTCTGCTGAAGATCCTCCCAAAAGTTGCTTTTCCTGTAGCCAGTCGTGGAGCAAGCTCCCTTTTTGTCCTGAACGTGTTCTGTATTCATCAAGAAGGAACCAGTGCCAAATGTAATCAGTCAGAAAATTCTCTTTAACTTATGAATTAAAATCTGCTATGAATGTGTATGTTCAAGACAAGAGAGACACATGATTGTTACAAGGGCAAAAACAGAACAGGCCAGAAGAAAGAGAGTTCACATGCAAATTACTTAGTTATGTAACAAATCCCTGTCTAGAGGAAGAAAGATCACTGGTCCCAGTTGACTGTTGGTGTCTTCTTTTCCCTTTTGATTTGAAAAACTTCTTAAAATACAGAGGAATCTGTATTTGTTTCTTCTTTGTTGTTGTTCAACAAATAGTCTCAAACATTATGTCAGACCCTGGGCCAGACATCAGGATCCAGAGCTAAGCATGCAACCTGTGCTCTAGTAGGGGAGAGAGCCTGTTTAAAAAAATAAGAAGAAATAGGGACACCTGGGTGACTCAGTCGGGTAACTGTCCGTCTCCTGATTTCGGCTCAGGTTATGATCTCAGTGTCCTGGGATGGAGCCCCATGTCAGGCTCCCTGCTCAGTGGGGAGTCTACTAGATGTTCTCCCTCTCTCTCCCTCTGCCCCTTCCCCTTGTTCTCTAATGTGCGCTCTCACTTTCTCTCTCTCTCTAAAATAAATAAACATTTTCTAAAAAGAAGAAGAAAGAGGATGCTGGGTAGCTCAGTTGGTTAAGCCACTGCCTTCGGCTCAGGTCATGATCCCAGAGTCCCAGGATCAAGTCCTGCATCAGGCTTTCAGCTCCACGGGGAGTCTGCTTCTCCCTCTGACCTTCTCCCCTTTCATGCTCTCTCTCACTGTCTCTCTCTCAAATAAATAAATAAAATCTAAAAAAGGGAAGAAGAAGAAGAAGAAGAAAGAAAGAAATATTCACAGTCAAAAGGGACAGATAGACACAGAAAAATAATCACAAGTGAGATGAATGGTACCACGGAGAAAAGCAAGAGCATCACTTAACCTTTATCTGTGAATCATGGATGTTTTCCCTGTGGAAGTGACTTTTAAGCTGAGACCTGGAATTGACTAGCTGTGTGGGGAATAGGGAATGGCTTAAAGACAGAATCTCCTAGGTTAGGCCCTGCAGTGGAAAAAAATCAGACAAAGCTTATAGTGATTAGAAGATGGTGATTAAGAATGAAGCTGGCAGTAGAGACAGGGACATGAATATCGAAGACCCCCATATGCCATGTAAAGGATCTGGGATTTGAGACTTTATTCCAAGGGCAATATGAAGCCTTTGAAGAGATTGAGGCAGAGATGTATTTGAAAAGATCACTCAGTCAGCTGCAGTGGAGAACAGACTGGGTTGGGGGAGGGGTGCGGGAACACCAGTTACCAGGTGTTCAAGCCAAAGATGATGGTGTTTTGGACCAGAGAGGGGCAGTGGGGGTGGAGAGAAATGGACAAAATCAAAGCGTGTGGAGAGGCTAGATAAATCCTCATGAATGATTTAACGCGGAAGATGAAGGCCAGTCATCACATTGATGATTCCAGTGTCCAGCTTGAGCAAGAAGAAACGGACTGGAATCTTTACATAGCTAGGAGACCCCAGAAGAAAGACAAATATGTGGGCAGATAAAGGGAGTGAGGTCATGTTCAGAAGAGAATGGTTCTTGTAGGAACTGAGACTTGAACCCAAGCAGACTGGCTCCAGAGCTCCCACTCTCACCACCATACTGTATCATGTGTGTGTTATCTCTAATACAGCTAAGGGAGATAGAAATATAAGTAATATGCCCTTAAATTTTTCAATTAGCTGAAGCCAAATTATTTGTCTCCTGGGTAGTCTATGTACCCCAAAGGGTATCTCTTCTGTGGATAATTAGTTTTGAATCTCAGCTTGGCCTTATCTCCCAATGAACATTAAAACATTGGTTGGGGCGCCTGCCTTCAGCTCAGGTCATGATCTCAGGGTCCTGGGATTGAGTCCCGCATTGGGCTCTCTGCTTGGCAGGGAGCCTGCTTCCTCCTCCTCCTCTCTCTCTGCCTACTTGTGATCTCTCTCTGTCAAATAAATAAATAAAATCTTTAAAAAAAAAACAACAACAAAAAACAAACAAACAAACAACAACAACATTAAAAAATTGGCATCTGGATGTCTCTTCCACACCATCATCCCTCTCTATCCTCCTTGTCTTAATTCTTCCTTTCCTCCGGGCTCCACATCAGCAAATCCTACAGACTCCATGCCAAAATTTGTCTTGAATTCCCCTGCTTCTCCCTTCCCAACCCTCCTTCCCACCATGGTCCACAAGGACTTTCTCGTTGTGTGATTTCCCAGCAGACGATATGCGCTAGAAGGACAGCGCCCACACTGTGCTTTGCGCCGCTGCGATGCCCAGTGCCAGGCAGAGAATAAGCATTCAGCAAGTAGTTGCCTAATGAATAAATGAGACTGGTTTGTAGATTAGTCTCCTATGAGTGAGCTTAGCATGAATAAATCCCCAAAGCCTACTTATTTACTAATTATATGGATCACGGGAGTTTCTGAATCCAATTTAATAAGACTGCAGGCAGCCGCTCCCGTGATGGGCACCACCCCGTAAGCGGTGGCCGGGAGCAGCTTGCTCAGTGTGGCAGTAAATCCAGCTGCTCTGCCAACTCTGCATTTGGCCCCTTGAACATTAACCGGAACCCCTCGGTCTGGTCTACTACCCTCCTCGGATCTTTCCCAAAAGAGATTGCTCTGTCAGGGACCAGAAAAAATCTGGTGCCTCAGACTGAGAATTACAGTGCAGAGGACAATATTCTAAGATGTAAATAAATGTATATAAAGGATGGAATTAACCCCAAGTCAACAAGCAGGAAATTCAAATGCTATGTTATAATCCTTACGTAGAGAACCACAAAGGCTGAAGGTCAGTTCATTCATACTATGGGCTGGGTGATGAAGGAAAGGCAGCTAATGTCTCATTTCCTGGTATCCTAGTTGTTTCCTATGCCTTTTACATAAGTGTTTTATTTTTAATGCATGCCCAATTTTACAATTTTTTTTTTAAGTAGGCTCCTAACAGGGGGCTTGAACTCATAATCCTGAGATCAAGAGCCACATGCTCTACTGACTGAGCCAGCCAGGCGCCCCTGCATACACAATTTTTTTTTTAAGTGCTGGAAATAGAGGTGTTTTTATAATTCCTTGGCAATCCAGGTACAATTGCCACAATGAAATAATAACACAAGCAGCTTCCAGCTGCTCTTTCAAATAGAAGCATGTGAATTTAAGGACAATGAGTTTGATGTCTAAATGTTTGAAATAAATAAACGTAAAGTAAAACATCAACCGCTATCCGGGATGTTTCTCATCCTCAGTGAGAGTCCAGCATCTTTTCAACAGCTGTCCAATGACTCACAATGTTTTCCTGGCACAATTCCTTCTCCTTAAGTAGAAACCAGAACCTTACTTGCCCACCCTCCCTTACACCTAGGGCACAAGTTTCTAACAGAGACACCTGTGTCAGGGCTCAGTTCTGAACAGAGCGATGCAAACAAGTGGATCCTGGCATTGGCCGAGGTGTCCAGCTCTAGGGTCAGCAGTGGCAAAGGTTCTGGTGTCCAGATGCTGCCGTCTGTGGTGTCCTAGCTTAGTGACAGCAGCAGTGGAATTTCTGCTCATGTGGTGACGTCACGGGGTTTGGGTGTTGCCCCAACTGCATTACCCCCAAGACTTACTTGCACCTTCTTGGAGATTCTGTGAGCGTCCCAATATGCTCTAATAAATTTCTTTTCTGCTAAATTAGCTGGAAGAACTTTTGTTGTTTGCATCGAGGAACTTTAAGTAGCAGAGCTGTTAAGAAGAGACCACGTAGACATAATTAAAACATGCTCCAAGGGGCGCCTGGGTGGCTCAGTGGGTTAAGCCGCTGCCTTCGGCTCAGGTCATGATCTCAGGGTCCTGGGATCAAGTCCCGCATCGGGCTCTCTGCTCAGCAGGGGGCCTGCTTCCCTCTCTCTCTCTCTCTGCCTGCCTCTCTGTCTACTTGTGATCTCTCTCTGTCAAATAAATAAATAAAATCTTTAAAAAAAAAAAAAAAACATGCTCCTCAGCAACCCCCTGTAAGTGGCGCTGCTCGCTGCCCAGGGAGCCCACACGTTTCCTGTGT